GCAAACAGTCTACGACCTGTTTTGACCTCTTTCTTACGTTCTGTCTTTCCTTCTTTCTCTCTTTCTTTCCAAAAATCCATGATATCTTATAATGTTTTACAATTTTTGTGTTTTGATAGCTAAATCGGAAAGAAGTTCCTTTATTGGCTTTGGGAGAGATTCTGGAGCACCAAGCTGCCAGGTAAGATTTGCACCTGGATGAAATAAACAGTACCATTTTTTTTGTGTGCAAAATGTTCTGTCCTTGGCACCTCTTATCTTGAATGTTTCAAAAGTCATATGTTATTCATCACATAAAGATACTGTATATTGTCAATCATTCCAGTGAAAGAACACCACAGAATAATGACTACTCATCAGCTCAGTTAATAAAACATACGTAATTGTCTATCATTAGGTTCTTGAACTCGCTGTGTATAGACTACAATATTGATTTAATGATCTGTTCACTTAATGGACTGAACTGCTCATCTTAAATGTGCACCTTTTTTTTTTTTGCATTTTCAGGTATCAACAATAGAAACAGCACCACTGGTTGCAGCTAACTGAATAAAAAAAACACTTTTAGAAATTGAATGTAAAGGTCAATGAGGTCAGTGTGGTCAAAGGTGTAAATCCTCAGCTTGTAAAGCAGATTTCTCACAGTGGCATCTAATATTGTGCATGGTGCTCACGTGTTCCCTGCTGGTGATTACTCTAATTGGACCAAGCACCTAATTGGCCTGTTATCTTAGGTAATTAGGGTTGCAGAGTTCAAACAGGGTCAGGATAGAAAGATAGACCTGGTGAGCCTTCTTGTTAGGCCTGAGTCGTGTCATAATGATTTCTTACAAGATTTTTGTGAAACATAATTTTCTACATTTCTGGTACTTTAATGCATTTAAGGTAATTTTACATAAGTCTATTAAATATAAGAAACAAATAAATTAAGAATTTATCATTTAACAGAAACAACTTAGAAAACCCTACTGTCACTGAACGTCTCTGTGTTTGTTTGTTTGTTTGTTTTTTTTCAGTCTTCTGTAAGGCCAGACAATGCACTGGGGAGTCCTAGTCCTGTGACTTCATCAGGAAAGTCAGCTGCTCCCTTCTACGCCTTCTCTGCAGCCAATCCCAGAAGACGGCCTCTGCAGGATCCTCCACCCATTGGTCAGTTCCTGTCCAGCGACAGTGTTGACACAAGATGTTCTAAGATGATTGTCTTCCAGGTTAACAGACCATATGTAATATACAAAGAGTGCTGAGATAACACTGTCTTAAAATCCCTATACAGTACAGTCACTAACAGTGCAGCATCTCATTGTCTTATATTTCTGCCTACATTAGTTTGTTTCATCTTTGCATGATGCAGCATTTCTTATAGGGAAAATGTCTAATCTTAGAAAGTACTGTACATACATTGTAGGGAGATCAGCGACTTTGCAGCAAATGGTTAGTGTAATATTAGAAAATGTATTTGGATCAGAATAAATCACTGACTTGAGCAGAAATCACGCCACCTGCCTTGGAAAAGAAGGTTTATTCTGTGTATCATGGGCTAAAAGCATCTGTGGTGCAGGTATAGACTGTATGTTGTAGGAATCGTAATGCATTTCACAAAGTGTGTCACCTTTAAATTCTCTGTCTGTGTTGAATTCATGAGCAGTTATGTCTCTGGAAAAGCTGAATTAGGGTTTGTTTACAGCACATTGACAGAGCCTTCCCTTTTGCCTGTGAATGAATGCATGTTGTGCTTTCATCTCTTCACAGATGCTCTACAAACAAAAAAGGTTCGCAAGGTCCCTCCTGGCCTGCCTTCATCTGTGAGTGGAAGATCATCTACCTCTCATATAAATAGATTCCACAGTGAGCTAACCTAAGCAAACACACACAAACACAAGCATGCACACACGCATACACACCGACACACCCTGCCTCTCATACAAGTCTTTCTCTTGACATCTTTGCTACTTTTCTGTTTTGAGAATTCACATTTTTTGTGCGAGTTCAGAGAACGATTTCTCTTTTTATGACACTTGTTTCTGCATTTGTGGTTTTATGGATGTAAACATTTCTTTAAGGCTCACCTCCGTGCATTTGCATGCTCAAACGTGCATATGTGCTTGTGTGTAAATACACACGTGGGCATGTGCACCTCGAGGTGATTGATTTTTGGTGCTGCCCTGTCACAGTCTGGCCCCCTTACGGCCTCTCCTGGGAGAGAGAGAAGCTGTCAGAGCAGATCCTCAGCTCTGCTCTTTTGATGTTTAATTAGTCATTACGTAGCCGAACAGGAGGACAGACAGAGATTAATAGCGCAGAATATCTGAAATTTCAATTGGTAATGATCCCGGTGGAGCTGAAAGCATTAGGATGCAGGGGAGTGCAGAGCTCAGCTTGCGTTTGCCTAGACGGGGGAGGGTCCCGAAGTTCATTAATATGCACAAATCAGTAAGTCACATGTTCATTGTTAAAACCCCGGTAGATTAGCAGTGGATTTTAGGAATCCTTCTCAAATTTTGTTATAGAGGCCCATGATTGTGTTTTCTTCCTATTTAATAAAGCATGATTTGCTTCAAAATGTATTTTCTTTCTTGAAAATATTTTTTATTTTCTTTTGTCTTTTGTTTAGTTTCTATAAAGCCATTTTTTTTTCTTTAAGAGCTACATCATCTTCACCTCTACCTCTATTTTTCCCCCCGACATCAAACATCGAAGAGAGCAGGGAACATAAAAGGCAGCCGTGTGTTTTGTTTCTGGATTTGTATTTGAAAAGAACTTTGTCAGGGCATGAGAGACGCGCAGCCCCTGGCAGCAGCAGCGACCTCAGCAGCAGCGGGAGCGTGTGCCGCCTTCCTCTTAAGTAAGTGATATATTTGAGGCCTTGTCAGACGGCGGGAGGGAGGCAAGGAATGGTTGCTTCACGGTTTACAACTCTTTGTTGTGTAAATGGACGCTGGGCTTTTATTTGTCAGTACTTAACACCAGGGCGCAGGTGCGGTTGTGTGACTCATCAGAGTACAATCAAGCACTACAATGCAACATGGGTAAAAACTGTGACAGGGCCGGGGATAAAATACAGCTTCTTCGTGTCACTCGGTACTTCTCAGAAGATGAAGCCTGGAGCTCTGGGGAATATTCACCCAGTGAGTCTTTGATCCTGTGTGAACGAATAGAGATACCAGTGTTAAATAAAGGGCTTTACTGCAGCTCTGTTATAATGTGCTGATGGAGAAAGGATTTTTGATAGTTGGTGCTCAGCATGTAGAAAGTGTGTGAGTGGGAGTCTGTCTGGCAGCTTTTGGGAGCTGTTGAATTTTGTGGTGTTGGACAGAAAGCAAACATAAGTGAGCTGTGGTGACATGAGCTTCTGAATGGTGTGAAGGATTATGTGAAGACTTCGACCATTAGTAGTTACTGACTGTTTTACGGTTTAAACAAGAGGAGAGCATTTTTCTTTGGATATTATCTGACAAATATTTGGATCATCCTAACCTTTTCCAAACCCTTTTAAATTGTATTTGAATATTTTATTCAACACAGTACCAATACTAAATTGTAGATGCTGTTCCAAACCTGATCTAAATCATAAAACTGCATCACTGTCACTTCATCCATCACCAGTCTCACATTCACAGGAATATGATGACAGTTCTGTGAGCATTTGTTAACAGTAAATACCTGTTTGAGGTTAATAATCACTTCTTTATATGCAGTAGATATGAGGTCTGTCTGTAAGGTGACATTTTGGTTTTTCTGTGGCACATTGATGAAGACACCTAAATGTCTTTTGGTGCTCCTGTTTAATAACACTGATATACAGTACACATTGCCAACTTCAGCTACAAACTTAAAGCTTCCCAGACCTTTCCTTTGGCCATATCTTCTTTCTGTCCAAACTTTTCAGAGTCTGTTTCAAGCATTGAATTCTTAACTTTTTGTTTTTGTCTATGTAAACACAGAAAATCTTATCCTCGTCCTTTTGTCTGGTAAAAAAACGGTTCGAGTAAGTCACTAAATCAAAGTCTGTTGTTTTGTGGCTTTTTTGCCAGTGCTTCAGCAATTCTGGAAATGTGGTTTGTGAGTATTTTAAGACCATTACTATGGTAATTTCATAAACTAGCTGTCCTTTTATATATACAATTAAGGAATAGTTGAGCATTTAACATGTCATTCATAATTTACATAAACCGCTTGTCCTCAGTTATATTCGTAGCCATCAAGTTTTGCTGCCTGCAGCAACACTATCAGTATGTAATGTTGTGTTGTGATGTCATGTGTCAGGGCAAAGGCACACCTGGAGTCAGAGCTCCTTTGCCCGGGGCAGCTGTGTCAAGAGCCTGCAGCGTACCTGTAAAGCCTGAATGCAGCTGCAGATACCACTGAAAGCTTTTGCTTGTGTAAGCAGGCACCAGAGCCTCACCAGAGACCTGAATAGCTGCTTGATTTGGCAAAAAAAAAAATCAACACACTGCTTCCTGTCATTATGTCTCCTGCTGGGAATTTTCATATTTATTTATTTTATTTTTTGAATCCCCCTTTTTTCCTACAGCCTGTATTCTCAGTGCCCCGTCTAAAAATAAATGTTGGAGTTTCAAATCAGTTCGGTGCCGCAAGTTGCAAGTCCAAGCATGATGTGTGTGTACACTACATGATGGAGCTCAATCAAAATATTTACAGGAGCCACATCCTCCGTGCATTTGGGTCCTGACACTGCAGTGCAGTGGGATGTGAAGGCTATCTGGAGAGGCCAGCTGGTGATTGCAAACATTTAAATGTTTATAAGGCTTTTTCATCTTATATACAGACACCCTCCTCCCTCAGCCACACACATGCTTCTCTGTGGTCTGCTGGATCTGAGCTTAGTATAATGAAGGGTGGATTGTAATTTATGATGCAGATATCTTTTACTCCCTTCTTTTCTGACATCGTTTTTAGTGTTCAACACAGTTTTTAGACTTTTATATTG